CCTTGAGTCTGTCAAACAGATGCAGGATAACACATCCACATGACCAGCAGTCAGCCTTGATAGGATCGTACTCCAACCCCTTCTCGACCTCGGGGGCAATCCAGCCCGCCGTCCCGCAATAGCCGGTCACCTTCTCCCCTTCATAACGTAGACGAACCGCGACGTCGAAGTCGATGATCTTCAAGCAGAAATATCGGTCGACAAGAAGGTTGGCGGGCTTGATGTCTCTGTGCGCGAAGAGATTTTCGTGAAGATACGTAAGGCCCTCGATGAGGCCCAAACAGATTTCAACAACGTTGCCGCGAAGTTCGTCAGGAGCGAGTGCGAGATAATCCGCAAGGGAATTCGGTACTTTAGGAAGAATGGCCCATGCGCCTGCCTGGCCAGGGAACGAATCGAGCAAGGAGATGACGTGGTTAGACGCCGGTGAGAGGCGACGAATATCTGCGAGGATCTGAAGCTCGTTCGACCCCTCATCGACTTCCTTTGCAATGAATTCAGTACTCGGATCTGATGGTCGATACACAGTAAGAATATGAGACGGCATCTGACGATTAGGCGTCAGCCCAGCATATTATTGTAGCCAAGGGTTGACATACCTTGAAAAGCGGCTCCAATGCACCGCCGCTTGCATCCCAAATGACTTCCGGCTTGATCTCGTAGCCGTGCGCTCTCAGTTCTGCAGCCGCCGCCGCCGTATTTGCACCGCCGCCGCCAACGACATTGCTGTTACCGTTGTCTGGCTCATGTTTCCTCTTGGTTCCCCTTGTATGAACCGACTTCAGAGCAAACTTCTTGGCTTGCGTTTCGATCTTAAGTTTGAGCAGTTCAGTGTTCTCTCGCGTGTCTTCCTCTTCTTCCACACTACCATGGAGCATATGAATGTGGTTGTACAACTGACGTGCAAAGTCGACACGGCCAATTGGTGTAGTCAACTCGAAACGCCTCTCTCTCCAGTAGACCTGCGATGGCTCAGCCTGAGACCTTATGCATTATGAAAAGACATACCATCCTGTCATTCGGCCGTTGGAAAAGAGTGTAGCGTGATGCTTCACCACTGCCCCGAAGAAAATTGATAACAAGGACAAAATTTTTCGTCAGCTTGAATGCGTTCAGGAATGCGTTTGCGAAGCGGACGAAGGCAGCACCGGTCAGAAACATCCGCGCCTTATCCACTGGCCAATCAGTTCCCAGTCCGGTCGAATCAACCTCTGTAAGCTGTCGAGGTAATTTCGACTTCATGATGAGGAAATCGCTGACAGGCTTATACGTGCGATATCTTTCTTTCACGTCTAAACCTTCGCCACCTGCAATTTCCAGGATAAGAGTGATTTGCGACTTGCTTCTATAGGAACGACAGTCATGATCGAACGCAAGTAATCAAGGCCACACATACCTTACAGGTGTAATCCGTCCTTGTGGAATATGAAGCATGAGCCTCAGAAAGAAGATGGCATGCGCTATATCTCCCTTCAAAGCAAGAGGTCTCTTCCAAAACATTTCCCAATTATCGGATGCAATGTCCGCGATATGCATCAGCTCGAGTCGGTCGGCTTGGCGCCATGGTTGTGTCCGATTGTTATGATGTTCATCCTCAGCCTCAGCGGTCTCCTCACCACCGGCGGCCGGCGCCCCGGATTGCTCCTCCGCAGCGTTCGAGTTTGTAAGAGACCCGAAATACGCAGCTTGGTATTGATCACCGAGTATAACCTTGAACGCCTCAAGCATCTACATCGACTTCAGATTGAAAGACAGGTGGACGATTCAAGGAAATCACGCACATCAGGGGCCACACCTGGGTTGCTATCCAACTTCTCTTCAAACTCCGCAACAAATCTTGGAACTGAGATTTCTGTGTTCGCTTTTATCTCATTCTGGACCACGTCTAATTCCGTGTAATCGCCCCACTTGTGTACTTGAATAATGATATCTCGGTATAATTTCACAACTTCCGGGTCCTCAACAGGCGTCCCTGCGTCATGTTGAGGCCCCGTTATAGCTGTGGGAAACATGATAAGATATCAGGATGTTTGAGAACAATTCCAGGGAGAGTGGCAGCAGACGCCACCGAAGATGCGACGACGTGAGGTCATCTGGATGGTGGCTCACCTGGAGGACGTGCCACGAGCACAAGATGAACCAACTTCTCCTGTGGGTTCAGTATAGAAGAGATCGAGCTGACTTCATCCAATGGGGAAGTGGGGTCTGAACCCTCCACACTCGTCTTCACACGATCGACCAGGGTATTATTTGGAGCAGCGTTCAGTTGGCCAGGCTGATGCTCGGTCAGAGTGGCACCGTTGCGACGATGAGAGGACAACTCACAGTGTAAATGGAAATTTCAGAAAGGGGAATCCTGCGGTCTCGCAGAAATTCCTCCTCGTAGATCTTGCGACGAACTTCCGCGAGATCCAATGAGTCTTCAACGTGAATCGTGTTGATGCTACTGGTGTCACCGTCTTCGAACAGGATAATGTAGGACAGCTTGATATCAGGCATATTTGAGGACTGAGGCGACTGGTGGTGTATAGACCTTTCATTGACGGGCTCAGCGATGAAGTTGTAAAGCAGGAGGTGGGGAGCGATGTTTGTATCTGTATGCGTGTTGGGTGCATGGTGCCACAAGGTGCCACATCGAGGGCGTGAGGGCGGATAATGTGACTTGCTCCTCCTGACCGTGACACCCGCGCTATCCCCGCTGGGCGTGACTCGATGTGCGTGCTGGTCGCATATATTCGGGGAGCGGTGGCGGAACGCTCTTTGAATCCTTCCTCTCTATCTCCTCAGGTCTTCACCCTTACTGAGCTCACCGCTGTTGCGTGAACGTAGGCAGAGATGTCAAACACACAAAAGAAACGTTGGTCACCGTGCATGCAAGGTATCACACCGAGGTACTCACTGTTTTTGGCGAATCAGCACTGCCGTTCATCTGCAACTTCACGGCGGGAGCCATTGCTGGCATTTCCGAGATCTTGACGTTCTACCCTCTCGGTGAGCCGTACGCTTATAGACATTTTTTGCTGGTGCTGACACCGCGTTAGATGTTGTGAGTACACTGTCCACGACGTGTCTCAACCTCTTCACCCATGCAGTATGATGAGGATCGCAGGTCAAGACGCGGATGCAGCTGGAGACTGGCAAGTCCCGTCACGGACTAGTAGGAACCTTCCGCGCAATTATCAAGGAGGAAGGGTGCGTGGGGCTGGTCATGCGAGCAGTCCTCACTGACTTAAAATTCTGGCACGACTAGATTCGGACGCTTGTACAGAGGTACAGAGAAATTTCAGCATGAGAGGAGGCACCCTGATGCATGATAGCTAGGTTTGGTACCACCGCTGCTCATGGAGGCACCTAAGCGTGCCACTAAATTGTGTGCACCAGAACTGCTTTCGCCTTGTACACCGCTGATGCAGTAGACAGCGCGGCGAACGACTTCTGGGGGAAGAGGTACCTGAAGCTGTCGGGCGAATCAAAAATGACCCAATCGTTGTCCATCCTCACCGGTTGCAGTGCCGGCGCGACGGAGAGTTTTGTTGTGGTCCCCTTCGAACTGGTCAAGATCAAGTGCGTTTCCATCTAATATTGCATGCTCGCAGTGTGCAGACTGTCTCATCTGCCTATGCAATCAGGCTGCAGGACAAGGCCAGCACATTTGCCGGGCCTATGGATGTTGTTAAAACGGTGGTTCGGAAGGATGGACTCCTCGGCCTCTATGCTGGCATGGAGGCAACAATGTGGAGGCACCTCTGGTGGAATGGAGGGTACTTCGGATGTATCTTCCAGGTCCGCTCGCTGCTACCAAAGGCGCAGGTGCATCGCGTTTCGTCCTAGTAGGTGGCATGATCTGACATTGCTCATTGCCCCAAGACTACGCAGAGACGTCTAATGAACGACCTCACGGCTGGTACGATTGGTGGGTTTGTGGGAACAGCCATCAACACGCCGTACGTCAAGTACGTTTGAGACGTTTCGCACTGCTGAGATACCTCTCTTCGTTCCAGATTTGATGTAAGATGCAGTCAACAGGGTCTTGAGATGCGCCGCTTACGAGTGTTATTCATCAGGTTGTGAAGTCACGTATACAAGGAGCCACCAAGGTCCCAGGTGTCGTACCGAAGTACAACTGGACATATCCTGCGTACGTTGATTGGCTGAACACGACGCTCTCTTTCCTAATCACTTGGTACAGGCTGGTGACGATCTTCCGTGAAGAAGGCCCAGCGGCACTGTACAAGGGCTTTGTTCCAAAGGTGCTGCGTCTGGCACCAGGTGGCGGTGTCCTCCTCTTGGTCGTCGAAGTGACATTGGGTCTCTTCCGCCAAGGTGAGTTATTAAACCCATCTGTCGGGAGGAAGGCGCACTTATACACATGGCGCAGTGCTCGGTCCTCCGTACATATAGATATGCTGACGATATTAGACGACAAAATCCAACACATCGCTATGGATGAGCTACAAGACACGACAGACACTATTCGCGCAATTAAAACTGCATTAGAGGCTGCCAATCTGCATGCCATGCCAGTGGCACGGCTCATAGAGATTGTTGTATCGTACGTCATTGTATATCCGCAGATTCCCGAGAGGCACATTCGAGTACTGTATCCCTCAATATGCATAGCGTCAATCGGTCTTGTTCCTTGACTGCTCCGTCGTGGAGTCCGTGTCTGTCATCAGTATCTCCCCGACTGCACATGTACCCGCTGCCCACACTAGGAGCAAGGAGCTGATGCAGAAGAAGCTGATGGACTGTCCGATCTCGAGCCATGATCCTAACGTCGTGCAACCAGATTAGTTAAGTGCCTCCAACAGATGGCTGAGCACTCACCGGTATCCGTGACGTTGAAAAAGAATGTCATTGTCATAACTAAATATGACATATTTGAGGCTTCAGGAATACTATCGCGAGACCGCCAAGCTCACCGTCAGTCAATGTCAGGGCAACGAGGAAGAGACTGAATGGTGGTAGATGTAGTCGCACATTGAGCAGATGCAGACATGTGGCGAGTATAATGTACGGAGAGACAACTTTGAACATCTTGTATGAGCACAGCTCGTCAGCAAAGCTTCAAAGTAGCCGGTAAAAGATCTACCAAAAGGACAGCCATGAGGAAGGGGTTGAACACGGGGACCAGTCGGTATACAGGCTCTAGGTAAAACGACCTTCATGCCTGTGAGCCTGCAATCATTCGCGAGGGAGGTTAGAGTCTAGACTCACGAGATTGACGCAACGCTATCGCAGCCAGTCAGATCTCCTGTGTTATCAAAAAGACTATATTTTTCGCTCACTTTCCAGTACCGAAGAACGCCACTTGAACGAAGAACAGGAAGAACACTGCGATCCTCAGATCATCTGGACGTGGCTTATACGCCTGAAGGTCCTTCGAGGAGCTTTCATGCTCGACTTGCCGCACGGCAGCCTCAATTTCTATCCACAACAGAAGCGTGGCCGAGAATGCACAGTAAAACAGGCCCTCAACGCTAATGGACAATAGCACGAAACAGACAGAGAAAGCCATGAAGAAAATCAGGATCTTGTTTTTCGGGTTCATGTTGTGCGCTCGGATGAAGAACGGCAGTACCGAAGCGGTTACTGTACAAATTGATCAAACGATATGAATGAATTATAGCTACGAATACTCACGGAAGAGGACCCATCCCAGGACCTGGTTAATTCGGGGCAGTCCTGCCCTTGCGCGCAGGCTTGACGCAGAGCTGTAAGTTACCAGCATGCTAACGACCAGAAGTAGACACTATGAGGATAGTTGAGCGATGGACAAAAAAATGTCAACCCCGCTTTATTTACCTGAACAGCAATGATTGCTCGGAACGCACGCTGCTTTTGATTTCTCTCTCGGAAAAGCAGTGCCCCTGCGATGCCTCCAACAAGCATGCACAACCCTCCTATGATACTACGTTTCACCGACGATCAGAGACAGCTTCAGTATAGACGCAAAATACGTACATCGTGAACAAGTTCTCCTCTTTGTCTACGCTCAAGAGAGGAAACACAGCGGTACTGAGGCAGGTAAGAGCCCAGGGGAGTAGCAACACGGCGTGTCGAGAACGGAGTTCGCTTGACCAGAAAGCCAATGGCCAGATGATCCCTATCACAACAAAACCTGCACTCCATATTTGACGGTGAGTGTAGCCTATCTTGAGAGCGTTTATGCAGGGTCACCACTACTCAAAGATGGATATGAACATACCACCATGCTTTCCAAGGCCCCCACAATCAAGCATACTTGTGCTAGAATGTTTCGTGCCGTCGAGATGTGCATGCTACCACCCTTTATGTATTCCAGCAGCGGCGTCCACGCCCGAGATATTGTCTGGTGCCAGAAATACGTCGGGAAACAGATGTAGAGATAGAATGTCCAGGGAGAGCGTTGGAGAGTGAATAAGCTCCAGAATCCTGCCAAGACGACCGCAGCAATTACATCCAGAGCACTGCTTTGATCTTCTGCATGTCCACTTTCGGGATTATTTTGGGGCAAGTAGATCGAAACGGCACCAAACGCGATCCAGCCCAGGTATGCTACTGTCACAATGGCTCGTATGAGCGTGCGATCATAGCTGGCGGGCTATTCAGTGAACGCCTACAGCTACATGCAAATATTTCTTACGTTTCGAGGTACCGCAGACCATCCAATGTCGAACGAATCAGCTGGGCAGATAGTGCCCGAGCTTCGGTGTAAGCTCCCATATTGATTTTTCTTTGCACCTCTGTGACAAATTCCGATCCTGGATTATGGCCGTTGGTGGTGGCAAAGTACGGGAATGGCTTGTAGAACAGAGTATGCGTTTTCTTGATCTCTAGTGCATTCTATATAAGCAGTTGCACAGTGTACAGTTACAGTGATACCTACCATGTTTCATACGGTAATGCTCGAGAATAACCTGAAACGAGTGAGTGTTCTGGTGTTGCCCCATGGGGCCGCGCACACCTTCGCATTGACCAAGGACGCCTGCGCCTGCGTCTTCTCTCCATCGAACGAGAGTAGGTAGCCCGGACGACTCGAATCAACGTCAGGTAGCACGCCAACTGAGTTCACGGGCCAGTTTACGCCGAGAAGTGCAGACATCAGAGCCGCTATGTCGGCCTGTTCAACATCGTGACGGAGCAAATGTGTCAGTTTCCAAGGTGCCGAGTATGCGTCATGTGAAGGGGGAGTACTGTCTGGCAGAGGGCCTCTGATGCCCTTACCCCACGCTACGAGTGGCGTCCGAGTGTTGTCGGGGTCTGACGACAGAAGGACTAGTCGGCTCTACTGTGTCAACAAAAGATCACATCACGCACCACCATCTCCGTGGTTGCCGATCTTTGACATGCCGTGGTCGGCGGTGAAAATGAAGGCTGTCTCCTGATCTTTGTAGAACTCCGTGAAGAGCTGCTCTGTCTGACGCACAATCTCGTCGACAACCTGGATGTTGGCCATGTATTCCTAGCACCAAGTCAGATGCTCACTCGCGCTACTGAGGCCTGATGACAGGACAAACCCTCGAATGTGGTCGATAAGAGTGTCCTGTTGTGTCTAGACCTAGGAGATGAAGAAAAAATATAGTCTGGTTCTCCCGCAGGGTGCCATCTAGCCTGGAATCAGTAGTAGCGTTGTGGAACAGAGCTCGTAGATGCGCAAGCACCCAAACATCCAGCGCGGTCGCATCTAGCACATCAACGGCTTAGCAAGGCAGACCACGCCGGTACCAGAAAAGCGAACCTTTGGTGAAATCCTCCTCGTCCTCGTGATAGCACCACATATCCACTTTCCCTGGTGTCGCACCACGGGCGAACATCGGCAGGATGTCTGGAGACCCGAATGAGAATGTATGGGCAGATTGGTTGAACACGGAGTCAAAGTCCACCTAGCCGATCCTTAGTATATGCACATCAAAGATCTGAAGTGACCGGCTACAGGATTGGTTTTCCAGCCCTACAACAAGTGATCAATGCGTTGTCTTGACAAAATGCAAATACGACCTACTCTCGTGACCGCGGACACGTCCTCGTACATGCCACCTGTATGGGTTCGTTACATGATATCGTCTATGAGGAGAGGCATACAGCCCCCATACCGATGAGAGCTACATGACCCGGTCGACTTTCCGTAGGTACATGCGTATGGGATAGCCCGAACGCGCCCCGTGTCTCAATAATGGAACGCAAGTATGGTGCAATCACCTCCGGAGCATCGGGTATTGACGCGAATGCATTCAATTCCAGCAGAAGATCCGCCCGCAGACCATCAGCTGCATCCAAGCATATGCTAGTCAGTTCTGTCATTCAGTCTGCCGCATCCAAGGTCTTACCGACAATGAGTACGAGGCGTTTTGCCTCTGCAACCTCCAGCTTATGAGGCTGCATGCCGTGTACTACAGGACTCGTGAAGTAACAATCAAAGACCGTGCCGATGTAAACCAGATGGAAGACCAAGCCAATTAACAGAAGCCGGAATATAGACTGATTGCGCTTCTGCATAGGGAGACACGATAGGACATAGGGCTTGAAACGAAAGTCGATGAAGCTGTGCGGTCCAACGTATGTCTACCACTCAGCACTGAGTTCCTCGACACGTCGCGCGCGTTTTCAATCACGTGTATCGTGTCGTGGATTGTGGCCATCGACATGTGCGCGGGAATGCATGCACACCATTAATGCACGACAGATATCAGGCTGAGACCAGGAAGTGATAAAATATGAGGTACATATTAAGTATATACAAAGCGGAAGCGGAATCATAACGGTCATAACATATCACATAGTACTTACTGTCCAACCCAAACTTGCGCCACCGACAACGAGCAAGCGTTGAGCTCCTTCAGCAGTGCTCACAAACGCTTCAATGCCTTCTTCCGCTTCTCGATCCCCGCAATACCTCCCGTCGCCGCTCGTTTGACAGCTTTCGCAGCTGCGTTTGCGTCCACCTTCACAGTCGAAGCAACGTTCGAGTCTGCCATGCTCAACGGAGAGGGCGACGTCTGCCTCTCCTTGCCCGTACTCTTTTCGTTCAGTAACTGACTTGCCGATGGTGAAGTGGGAATCGTGTTGCTACTGGATGATTGCAATGGAAGGGATGGTGCAGGTTGCGCAGATTTCTGCGGCGCCGCGGAACTCGGAGCGGTGGGGAAAGGAGTTATTGGCGTGATCAAGGAGGAAGCAGCCGGCACTGCTTTTGCAGAAGCTATTTTCGACGTGGATGGAGTAGAAGAAGAGGCCGGCTTATCGAACTGTGTTGGGCGGGTTCTCGCATGTACACTGGTGATCAGCTTGGCCCGGGAGCAGTAGTCATCGTAGTTCTCAAGAAGCAGCTTTCCTGCCTCCTCGTCAAGGGCAGACTCGGGATTCGGGTAGATAAGCAGGCATTTCACTGTTACGAGGATGTGGCCGATGCCGTATGTGGACTTCCAATCCTTCTTCAGCGTATTCACACAAATCTCCCCTGAAGATGAAACATTGGGGTGGAATATCTTCGTTAACATTCGACCTATTGAAAAGGGGGAGAGGGTCAGTAAGTTGTCATCAAATGTAGGCTGTAACTTACATTTAGGTGGTGCCGCAGGGAACTCCTCTGTGAATGCAAACTTGATCTTGAAGTATCCGCCAGCATATGGCGTCCCCTCTGAAAGCAGTGAATGTCAGCCATGATACTATCAACAGAGAACATCAAACAGGATGAAGGGTTGAGGCAGGTGGGCTGGCTTCGAGGGTACCTCATCTCTACTCTAGAGACGGCAACGCTGCATAGAGTTATTCCTGCCATCCCCTTGCGGTAACAGAGTAGAGATCATATCGCCTCTCACGTCGAAAACTATCATGATTGCCCTTGCAACATCAGTAGCACAGCCTATCTTAGCGCTTTTGTGCGCACGTCGCAAATTCAAAACAGGCAGGTCACTGCCCGTTTTGCAACCGCTCTTGTTTGACCCGATCGTCGTCCATCGATGATACTGCGTGCTTGTCCCGAGCAAGCGCCCCTTTGGTTGTCCGCATTATGACATCCCGCCACATCTCCCCTCAAGTCACAGACGCGTCGAAAACACGTACCTGGTCCCTCAACGATACCGACCACGTCCAACATGTTATCCTCATTGGTGATGACGCGTATACAGTCCAGGGGGTTCGCTTGAAGCTCCGTGAGCTCGCGCATGAGGCGGCGCATAACAGCAGGAGTGACAGACTAAGATATAGAGCGCGTCAGGAAGCATCACATACGTTATGAAAGCGCACTTACCATCGTGAACACGAGAGGAAGCGAGAACGGCAGAAGGGGTGGATGATGTGTGTGTTGGTCAGAAACAAACCAAGGGTGGCCCCCGATTCATCTCCGCCCCTGTGTCACGGACTCCCGTCACACTCGTCACATGCGTTTTGCTTCCGTTCCGATGCGTGTCCTTGTGGCGGCCGGCAAGTTCTTTATGTCCACCAAAGGACAACGATTTTCCGAAAAAAAGAGTCGAGGACATCCTCAACAACTGACGCGCTCACCGTTGGCAATCATTCGATGGCCATAAAATGAATTATTCGTCCTTGTCTTCCAACGTCACAAGATTCTAGATTAATACACAACTAGCGTAGAGAATATATCGTGATGTAACAATGCGTTTGTAGGCAGCATTGTCCCGCTGATGATACACAATACTACCGTAACTGCGTCGTGTGAGGTATCGCTGCGTATGTGGTAACAATGGGGAGCGGAAGCCAGAGAAATGCGTCAATGCCAGCAATGGATGAACATGTAGTCACGCGTGCGCGTGATTGTCGATGATGGGAAGGGTGGAACCAAAATAATCGATACAGAGATCCGAGCGCCGTTCTTCTGGACACGAAGCTCACAGTGGGTGTGGGGTTGCAGATAGATGCAGATGCAGAGTCCTGATGCAAAGCATGAAGCAAATGCAGGTTGTGGAAATTGTAAGTGCAGAAGAGCTTGCACTGAAAATAAAATGCACAAATCATGGTTGGATGAGCAGAGTAAAAGGTGACAGCGTCTGCCGCCGACCGGGGGTGGACAACACGGGAGGACAGGCGACCCCACAGGTTCGGGCATGGGCTAGATCTTCAACTCCCTGAAGCCACGGACGTCCACCCTCCCAGTGCCGTTGCGTTTCCACTCCGCATGAGACTCGTCAGTGTCGCCATTATCTATATCATGCTGCCGCGCAGGCTTGCTAGACGGCTTCTTGTATCTACCGCCTGGTATAACGATCTTGCCTGCGCTGGCTCTCCGTCGTGCATGGGTACTTGCGACAAAAGCCGTGCGAGGTTTGGGAAGCCCAAGCGCCTTGCGCTGGCGCCGGGTGAGAGGTCTCTCTGGCGGGGCAGGTGGGGGTGTCGGCGCGCGAGAGGGTGCAGAGGACAAAGAGCTCTCCGAAGCAGTAGATGACCCGGAGACGGAGAGGTCTGGAGTATCAAGATCAACATCCACGTCGTCGATCTGCATGTCAATGCTGCGGGACTCAGGAAGTCCGGAGATGTCACGATTCGAAGTCCGTGATGTCGGGCGCGAGCAACTTTTTGCACGCTTGGCTGCCCCTTGTGAGGACTCCGATTGAGCCTGAGATGATGCAGAGGACTCGTCGAATGTTCGTTTCGGCGAGCGGTACGACCGCGAGATCTCGAGCGAAAGATGGGCTGGAGCCGGCGACGCTCGGGAAGCAATGAGTGGAGAGGGCGAACGCGACATCGGCAACGGAATCTGTGACGGCGTCTTCGGCTCTTCTATCTCGGCCTTTGCAACGACAGCAGTATGGGTCTTTGCTGGTTGCCGTGGCGCAGATTTCGAATCCGGCTTCGCCTTGACCTTAGACGGTGGCTTTTTTCTCGCTGGTGATACAGAAGGTACAGCACGGAGCGCATCCGGGACAGGTGTCTCAATAACATCCGGATGTCCTGCGTGCGGTCCGCGGAGGTTACGAATAGAGGAGAAATGCTCATAGTCGTGGTATCTAAGATGATGATAGGTACTGTGCAGAAAAGCGAGTGAAAGATAGTTAACACGCACGCAACATAAATTGGTCCCGGAGGTTGTCCGTCTTCGGACGTTGGCGGGGGCAAGGGCGGGGCTTTCTCGCACTCAGCGCGCTTGCGATCACGAGCCACGCGCCGTTTCTCACGCCCACTGGGTGTGTTTATCGTTGATGTCGACGCCTCGGTGACAGATGTCGACGTCGAGTTGTTGGCCTCCGTATATAAAACATTGGAGTCACTGCCCGCCGCCCACTCAATCACGTAGACGAGTCCTGGCTGGATCACCTTCACATCCCGCCGCGTCATGTGCGCAAATGCGGACAGCTCGAGGTGCCCGCCGTACGTGGCTGCACGAAAAGTGCGAGACGATTTGCCGGTTAGCGCTGAGTGGGCAGCAGTCACCGGTGCATGCTACACGAGCTACTCACCTGGCTGCCGCATGCATTCCAGATGCACATCGATCCCTCTCTCGTCATCCACAAACGGCCCGTACCGCTGCTTATGTGATGCTATCCAAGCGCAGATGTCCTGCCGGAGCTTGAGGTGGTACGACGGTGTGCCGTAGAGCTGATCAGAGAGGGCACGGAAGAGGCAATTGCCGTCACCGAGGGTTGGAGCGGCGTACAACCCCATAGCACGCAGCTGCTCATTGAGCAACTGGCTGCTCTCTGCAGGGTCAGACAACGCCTGCGCAACCTTTGCACGTTAATGATTTCCGGGAAAGTAAGGGAGAAAAAAAATCGCACCTTGCCCTGGCTCCTCGTTGTCCGAGAGCGCACTAAGGGCGATAAGTCAACAGCGAGTCGACCAAGTGCAAGGCGCAATCTTTGCGCATCACTCACATTGAGGGGGTGCCCTCGCGCTCTTCCTCTTCGAAGTACCCATCTTCCTCGTCGTTGTATTCTGTCTGCTCGTTGTTGATGCTGTTGGCAGTTGGTTAGAAACATCGTTCATCCGTGCGGTTCTGGGTCCTACATCGGACCTCGAACACCGGAATCACCTTGTTAGGCTCGCTGCCGGCTTCAGCCTGCGCACGCTACGTACTGCATGGAAACATAGTTGCTGCAGCAAGAGCAAACTCATAACGTGGCGTTCGTGATTGTGTAGCGACTAGAAGAGGCCGTTTAAAGCTCTTGGGTGATAGGTTGGCCACCAGGACGGAGCTTTACAGATTTTGTGGCGGTTCGGTTCGGTTCAGCCCGGTTCGTCTGCTATGCTCTCGACTTTGTAGTGTCTCGTCGAGCTGTGCTCAACGCGCTATTCATACCTCCGTATGACGAGGCTTTCTGTGGTCTTGGCAGCAGCAGTGAGAACGAGCCCCTGCACATCGCTGCGGCGAGCTTACAGAGTTGGACAGTCACGACCGAACCCCTGCGCTGATCCTTGTTCGTTCTATCGTTTCCGAAGCTCTTGACGTCCAATCCGCTTACAGCCATGGTTGTCCTCGACGATATAGAAAACGATCCTCCGCCCTCGTATGTTGAGGCAGGCCCGGCGGGGTCCTTACCGCCATTCCCTGCCAGAGGCTCGCGTGTCACATTGATCACCCTGCCTTCTCACATGCTGTTACGAATCATCTACGAGTTGTTTCCTCAAGGCCAGCCTGAGGGCCAAAGGAGGATCCTGCAATGGCTTCATGTTTCTCTCAGGCGCGTCAATCATGCGCTGTATGTTGGTAAGTAGCGGTTCAAGGTACTGGTTGGACCTCAGGGCTGATAGCGATATTCAGCTTGCATGCACGTCCTGCGTTCGACCTATCTGCCTGAATATAGCAAGCACGTCCGCGCACCTTACACATCAGATCCCTTTCCTTCGTCAGTCGCCGGTTCGGAACAGAGCGAACAGGCGATATCGCCTGTTCTATCCATGCAGCGGGAGACACGCGTCCTAGATCTCTTCATCGCACTCAAAGTGCGAGAGGACGTCTTAACGGACGAAAGTGAGCTGCATCTCGAACATGAAGACAGCTTCAAAGACCTCTTCGATCTTATGCAGCCACGCAGCAGGCTTGAGGACCTCGTGAGGATATACGGTGCCCGAGAAGGCGTCATCTCCACGCAGTCATCCGGCTCAAGCATGAGCAAAGGAAGATCCGACGTGCAGCCCATCCCATTTACATTTCTGTCAATCTCATTTTCGCCGAGGAAAGTGGGACTGGTGCTCACGATCAAGCGGTCGAGGAAAGCGATTGTAGAAGTCGTGAGAGCTCGTGAGGACACGCTCGACGTTGCTGCTAAACGCTTGGTGAGAGGATTGAAATCTTGGCTGCCCGCTCATCCAGGCTATATGAACTCAATCTAATATCCATGCATGTATACCTTTGATGGAAGGACGTATCCTGGAACTTATGTATCCCTGTAGTAGTAGCATACCTCGAAATCGCATTCCTAATAGACCGGTAAACGCTGATCTATTGGCCATTGTCGAGACGGCATCACGTGCAAACAATTTCCTGGTGGCTTGGCTTTGACTTATAGTTTTCGAGTACTGTTCTCTGCCCCTTCCGCTCTGAATCAGGACCTGTGGCCGAAATACCTTCTCGTTATCATCTCCTTACCCGAAACGTTCTTCGTGCGCCCCGAGAAGGTGCCCTGCTAGATCTTCTTAAAATTTATCCCTCACAAGTGACTTTGATCGAGGTACGAGGTACGCGTGCCGTCCATATTGTGCAAGATACTCTTTGTAAGAGCTTCTAACTACGTTAGCAGCACTGGTTGAACTTATCTATGTTAACCACAATCCGTGCACGCACACGCGCCGCTATTGCGATCAAATCGCAGCTATATCTCCACACTGGCTCAGTCACTCAGCGACCAAGTCGACCCGTAACATTGTTACACTGCTACCAGAATACTACTGCGCTCCTCGCAACGCGTGCGTCTTTATCGTTCAACGGACGTTGTGCGCACAGCACGCGAGAAGTGCCAGACCAGGATGGCGAACCATCAAGCAAGAACGCTGACGCCGTCTCCTCTCAAGACCGAAGCACTGTACCCTCATCTGATGTGTCTAAAGCGTTCGAGGAGGACGATGATGCTTCGTTTGGGGTGATGGGCACAGACACATCTAGCTCGATGGAAGAACTTCCAGAATCACCTCGACTTTCTTCGGATCCATCGCAAAAGCCGCCGACATCTACGCTGTTCGTCGGATTGCTTCCTCCATTTGTAAAAGAACAAGAGATTTCAAACCTATTTGAAGCATACGGCGATGTCAAAGTGCGAATGAGTGAGCAACGTTTCGTTGGCCGTTCGTGCTCACACCTTCGTCTCACATTCGCGAATATCAGGGACCACAAGCACTGGGCAAAATTACGGCTTTGCTCACGTTGACTTTCCTTCAAGACAGCATGCGACGATGGCGATGGCAGAGCACCAAGAAGCCCCGTTCTCTATCCGCGGCCGCTCGCTGAACTTTGAATTCTCCCGAGCTACTATCACGGATAAGCAGCCGGAGCCCAACCGAACAATATATGTCGCCAACGTGCCATTCAATTCGAATGAAGAGGATATCGGCAATGTATTCGAATCGTTCGGCGAAATCGAACGTGTGCGCATGGGTGAGCGTGGATTTTCTTCATGTGGAAACGAGGAGAAGACTCGAATGATTATGTCTGCCGCAGAATATGACGATCAAGGATGGTCGAGAGGGGTTGCGCATATTGCCTTCCGGCATCCCGCAGATGCGCAGGCAGTCACGGAAAGACAGATGACAAAGGGTTTTGAACTTGAAGGACGACGACTCTTTGTTCAATATGCACGCAATTCAAGCGACGGTGTAAAGCGATTGAGAGTGAGTCGACCAGAGGACGACGATCGCGAAGGCCAGGGAATCAGGGAGCCCATGCTGCCGAGCGAGGTTCTTCGGGTCAGCAATCTGCCTGCGCGTCGAGGTGTAACAGAGCAGGATATACGTGAGCTGTTTGCACCATTCGATGCGAAAGTCAAAGCCGTCAGATTCGGTATGTCTCTCTGCACTGTCTCACAATCGTTATGTCGCCAACGCACATTCCGTTAAACAGCTATATTCGCCGATCGGCCGCGTACATACGCCCACGTCGAGTTTGCGACAAAACTGCAGACGGAACGTATTATGAATGCCCACCAGCAAAGTCCATTGAAACTATGGAACGTAGTGGACCTCATCTTGGATTATGCCACTCCCGTCGTGCATTCCCTTTATGATCCTTATCACAAGTTATACACACCTGCTGTCACAGGAGATGCGATGGATGTCAAAGCTCTGTTTGGGCGGTTCGCTGATAATATCGTGGATGTGCAATTCCGTATGTGCATGTCTCGTTCACATTGACGGCGTTCGCATTGAAGCTTCCCTCCCTTCTCAGACCCAAAGCCATACGTTGACCCTTCCATAAGGTCTGCGTTCATTGAATTCGATACTATCGCCAACGCTACAGCGGCGAAAAACGAGTTTGATGGGAAGGAAATCAGACCCGGCCTCCGTTTTGCCTTGGAATATGCTCGCCCAAGGATGAGGATGTCCCGCAAGGGTCCCAGAACTGGGCCGCCAATAGGGTCGGAGAAACGTCTCGCGTTGGCTGAAGAGAAGGTAACCAAAGCCATGCAGAAGCGACGTAACTTGGAAACGACGCAGATGCGAGCCTTTGCGAAGCGTGCGATGAGCAAATCCAACCGGCCCGATCTGAAAGATTATTAGGCGCGGCGTCGCGGAGCGAAATGAGAGTATCCGTTTGTCGGTATGTGAGAGCGTTGGTGTCGTCCGCGAGATGCTCACGCGTGACAGCAATGATTCCGATGGTCGAATCCGTGTCATTGTTCGAAACGGCAGCAGATGCTAACTTATTGTAACCTAATCTAGTGCCACCTTGCAGCAAACATTTCATAAAGCTGACTGTCTGCGACCACGCGTACATCGGTGAGTGTGTAGGCATGCAGGTCGCATGTCCTCTTCAAGCGACGCCCCGTTCTCGCTTGTGGTATATCCTAGTGATAGTGATCACTGCTGATTATGTTGTAGTTTTTTTCCCCCGGATTAGACGCCCAGTGCGCCCAGACTGTCCGGATCTGTGCCGAGTGTTATCGCCATTTCGGCATCGATCGCTATCCTTTTGCAAAGCGGATGGCTGAATCCATCAGTGGCCATCGTAAGCTTACGTTCACCAGCGTAGATAAACTTGCCGTACCCATCGTAGCCAGCGCATTATGCTTCAGACGAGGATGCCGCATTGTTGGTCTCCACTGCATGCATCACTTGGCGTCGTTCATTCCCGCCTTCGACGCGGGTCTTCCACTTCTTCCCCGGATCCTAGCTACTTGAATACAACTCATTCAGTCATCGGGTCTTTATGACCTCTGTCTTCGCGATTATCAGAATTGCTTCCATCGAGTACATATGGTAGGCAGCACTCACCACGAGACCCTTCATACCTCTTCGAAGACTGTTCTTCGTGCGTCATGAGGTTTTTGGCGATGGAGCACCAGCGGTGAACGCAATCAGATCAGTCTAGATAGAGCATTCGCGTCACTGCTTCGCAGGCACTTCGGCTTGTCCTCCGCACACAGGGGCCAGGTCTATCCAAATCCTATATAAGATACACTGCGCACGTACTGCCCCCGCCCGTGCCTCCACTCCTTACGGCCATCATGACCTCTACCATCGATCCAAAGACCATCGGCCAGCCCCCCAAGCGCCCCCGCAGACATGTTCGGTCATTGACTGGTTAGTGCAGCCCGCCTTCTGCACCAGAGATGCTGAACAGATCACGAACTTCATGAACAGGGTACCTGCCGGAAACGGACGCTACGGGCAAGGAGGTTTGGCCGAGGGGAGATGAGAAGGTGTGGAAGGCTGCGATGCGTGGCCTAGATACCGGTGAGTGCATCTCAGAGGGTGGACACCGGGCTTCTTGGTGGAAGCAGGAAGCACGCACAATACACCATTCAATAGCGCGCGTCAGCGTCGGACATAGCGAGCAGACAAGGTCTTGACTCGAAACGCGCATATATGCGCGTATATCTCGATGCAACCATTATATCCGGCCATCTGCGCGACGAACGTCATCTAATGTTAACTGCACAGATGTACCATCCATCGTCAGGTCGGTGGTGAACCATGTACAGACATCTCTTGCGAGGCAAGCATACAACCTCGACAACTTAGGGGCCTACCAGGCTGCTGCGCTCTCCGTGCGCGATAACCTCATCGTATGTATCCGGTCCATGTATTTGCTTGCCGCTGATTGAACACGCTTTTTAGCTGAACTGGAATGACACGCAAATGCACTACACGCGAAAGGAGCCGAAGCGCGCATACTACCTCTCGCTCGAATTCTTGATGGGACGCACGCTCGACAACGCGCTGCTGAATCTCGGGATGAAAATGGAGTACAAAGAAGGCGTGCACGCGCTTGGCTATAATCTCGAGGACATCCTCGAGCAGGAGCGCGACGCTGCGCTCGGGAACGGCGGCCTTGGCCGGCTCGCCGCGTGCTATCTCGACTCAAGCGCATCACAAGAGCTGCCCGTGTGGGGCTATGGCTTGCGCTACAAGTACGGCATCTTCCAGCAGCTCATCTCCCCCGAGGGCGCCCAGCTCGAGGCGCCTGATCCGTGGCTCGAGCACTCCAACCCGTGGGAGCTGCCCCGCCTGGATGTTGCATACGATGTGCGGTTCTATGGCCATGCCGATCGTCTTGATAACGGAAGGGCGGTCTGGAGTGGAGGGCAGGAGGTTTTGGCGATTGCGTACGATACCATGATACCGGGCTATGATACGAAGAGTACGAACAATCTCCGTTTGTGGGAGAGTAAGCCGAAGCGTGGCTTTGACCTGAACAGCTTCAATGGTGCGTTCGCCCTGTCCATTTGCCGCACTATTTCTGACGCTGTTGCTCGTAGCCGGTGACTATGAGCGCGCTGTGGAATCATCTAACAGCGCTGAGGCCATCACGTCCGTTCTGTATCCGAATGATCACACGTCCTGTATGCGTTTATATACATTTCCTTTGGTGTCCCTACTTAAAATCTTGCAGTCGGTAAGGAGCTGCGACTCAAGCAGCAGTACTTCTGGACTGCTGCCAGTCTTGCCGATATCATGCGGCGTTTCAAGAACATGGGCAAGCCGCTCACTGAACTTCCTGACTGTGCGCGGTCGTCGTCGTCGATTCATTGCCATATAATGCTGAAGTCTCCTCTGTTTAGACGTGGCTATCCAGCTGAATGACGTATGTCTTTCATTCCGCCTTGCGTCGATCTCTTGCCTTCTTTCATGGTGTGATTTGGGTGACATCCTTTTGAATGCTGATTTTGTTAGACTCACCCGACGCTCGCGATCCCTGAGTTGATGCGCATACTCGTGGATGAGGAAGAAGTTCCATGGGACGTGGCGTGGAACATCATTACAAACACGTTCTTCTTCACGAACCATACGGTCCTTCCGGTCAGCCTTCATTCTGCAAATCATTCATATTTGGTGCCTGATAGGGTTATCATAACAGGAAGCGCTTGAGGTAGGCATAGTCGGTGGTCGGTGGAATGTCTTTGTTGAAAAGATTCTTGTAGAAATGGCCGGTGCCGTTGATGCAATCCTTGCTGCCCAGGTATTACATTCAGATTGCTGGTGATATGGGCTGATTGACAGTCTTTTCCCGTAGGCACATGCAGATCATCTTTGATATCGTGAGTTCATATCATTAGTTCATCGCGCCAAACTGATCGTTCCTGACGACCGACAGAACTTGTGAGTATGACATTGGTTGGTACCGAATATTGACGTGAACTATTCCTGCGCGTTTTATAGAATCTTCTTGCAAGGTTTGTTGATAGCAGCTTTTCACAAGCATATTGACGTTCATCACGTTCGTTTGCAGCTGTAGAGAAGAAGTTCCCTCACGACAGGGAGAAGCTGGCGAGGATGTCTCTCATTGAGGGTGAGCGTCATGATCTATTGATGTTGCTTCCTTAGGTGATGAAACATCGTTACAGAGGGATTTCCGCAGTACATACGCATGGCGAACTTGGCTTGCATTGGTATGTGGTCGAAGTCTTGTGAACGGAATCGGACCATGACTGTTCGTTGTAGGAAGCAGGAAAGTCAACGGTGTAGCTGAGGTATGACCCTCCTCTTCATTTTGTGCCTTTCAGAGTCTCATGCTGCTGTCATTGTAGCTCCACAGTGAGCTACTCAGGTTGACCATCATGAAGGACTTCGTCGATTTCTATGGTGTTAGCAAGTGGGTCTTGATTATTTCTGGGAGAATCTCAGGTCACTGATATCATGTGCAGATTTTCCAACGTCACCAACGGCAGTACGTATCTATGTATCCGGTGTATGTTCTTCAATTAGATTGACTGGCTGGGCAGTTACTCCGCGTCGCTGGCTCGACCAGGTTTGTACCTTATCAAGAGCCTTGTCGTGGACAATGAACTTATCTCTCCGTTTTATAATCATCAGTGCAACCCTGCGCTCAGCAACCTCATCAGCGAGACCCTCAAGCTATCGAAGGCTGCCTTCCTCAAGGATCTGTACAAACTCGAGGTACGAACCAGCCACACGCAACGCTCAGTTGTTCCATTCACGTTCAACGATGGTGCATTTAGGGCCTGCTCAAATTTGTCGACGACCCCGGATTTCAGCGTAAATGGGCAGCGATCAAGCAGAGTAACAAGGAGCGTCTCGCACACTATGTGGAGACGACACTGGGATTGAAAATCAACACGAATGCCATGTTTGACGTGCAGATCAAGGTAGTCCTTCATGCCTATTGGGAATCAGATCAGTGTTGACAGATTGCCTTAGCGTATACACGAATACAAGGTCGGTCACAAGCGGTTTCGTAAGGATATCTGAAGACTCGGCTGAATTGGCTACGTACAGCGTCAAACCTTGAATATCATGGGTGTCATCCATGTACGTGGCCTTGTCTACGTAGTGGTAGTTGCCTGACGGATCGTCTGCAGAGATACCTCACCCTCAAGGAAATGACTCCTGTTGAGCGTAAAAAGGCCAATCCCAAGGTGGTCTTTTTTGCCGGCAAGGCTGCGCCAGGATGTGAGCACAAATTCCTATAGGAGGGGTTCCATGCTGATCTTCGTCGATTCAGACTATATTGCCAAGCTTGTATGAAAGCCATTTGTCATCTTGTTTAGTTTGCTAATCGTCCATAATTCTTAGACTATCCGACTGATCGTCAACGTTGCCCGTGTTATTAACGCTGACCCCGATACCAAAGACTACCTCCAGCTTTACTTCCTGCCGGACTACTCGGTCTCGCTCGCCGAGATTTTGATTCCTTCTTCAGACATCAGTCAGCATATATCCACGGCCGGAACTGAGGCCTCCGGTACGTCGAACATGAAGTTCTGCCTGAACGGCGGGCTGCTTCTCGGAACCGTCGGTGAGTACTGCTGTTATATTATCCGTGAGCCTGTCTGGAATATCATGGATGGCAGATGGTGCAAACATCGAGATTGCTGAGGAAGTTGGCGAAAACAATGTCTGTAAGTATTGAAACCCGGATGATACTGTTTTGGCGAGTTGCTCACATATTTCTTAGTCTTCTTCGGTCATTTGACGCCAGCGGTTGAGGATCTTCGCTATCAGCACATGTATCATCCAGTTCCGATTGAGCAGAAATGCCCTCCTCTGGCCCGAGTGCTGAAAGAGGTTTCGGATGGATTGTTCGGTGACGGCGGCGTCTATGAGCCGTGCGTGTTCCGTCGATGCGGTAGACGTCCAAAGCTGAGAGTTGATATCAGGCTTCTCAACACTATTCGTCAAAACGATTATTACTTGTTGACTGAGGACTTCGACTCTTGTAAGATATACTTTGCAGCTCTTTAACCTTGATGCTGACCCATTTGTCATAGACATCCAGGCACTGAAGTTGGTTGATCAGGCATACCAGGATCGGACTGAGTGGATCAAGAAGAGCATTAGGACGACAGCCAAGGTCAGTGATGCAATATATTCTTTTGTACGACGGCTAGCTGAGCTCGCTTTCTAGATGGGCAAGTTCAGTTCGGATCGTGCTATTCAGGACTATGCTCAGGAATACTGGAACATCGAGAGCACGAAGCCGGAGTGAGCGATAGCGACCGTCGTTCGATTGCAACAATCATGGTATTTAGGTGGCATGGATGACACAAATAACAGCATCGTCGTAAATGTTCTTAGCATGTATAATGTAGGAAAAATATGAACGCGGGTAAACCGAGGACGAAAAGGGAGCTGGATGAACGCGATGACCATAAAGAAACTAATGAGACAGGACAGCAAGGCACGATTGCATAGTAGACACGATAATGACAGCAAAACAAAATTAAGCCAGTTCGAGGGGTATCATCTGGCTGAGTGAATGAAGGCAATGCAATCGGGCTCTTCTCATTCATACAGTTGGCCGACAGCAATGGCTGGACTACAGTTACTGACAGCCCGTTCATCCGCAATTTCGCTTGCGGAGGATGAGATGTGTCCAGCGCCGAAGTAGACTCTCAACCTAAGAGTCTAAGGGTATGCTTCATGTATCCGATACGCGTTCACGCGTTACCTTCGATGTCGCTCTCATTCGGACGCTCAGCATCTACTTGACGTTCGACGGCAAAGTCAGCCCAGGTCATCAATGGCTAACGATTCGACCGTACCTTGCTCTGGTGCAGAGGCCCGCGCACCTAACGCTGAAGACACAGCATCACCGGCGGCTGACGGTCCCTGCTGAGTGGCCGAGCTTGGAAGCTCCGATGCAGAGGACGAATACGCGCTCGGCGCGGACATTGACCCTCTCCCACCCTCCGAAACATCGTTCAAATCGGCTGTCTCTGACGATCCGGTGCCTGCGCCACTCGGATCATCTGCAAGGGCGATCAAGCCTCCGTCACCAGCGGATTCTGTGGTAACAGGCGCCTCGGTACGCCCATCGCTCCTCACGGCAGACACTGTGGTACCCGATGACGGTGAGTCTGGGAGGGGTTTGTCCTTGTCCCCCAGTTGCGATGCCGACGTCTCCACGGGCTGCGTTTCCACTCCCGTGGTTTGCATTGGTCCAGAGGTTTCCGGAATGCGGCTTTCCATGGAAATGCTGAGTACAGGGGCTCCCGTCACATTCGCACGCTCTGCAGAGGCCTTCGCTACTGCAACAGGTTCACTTGTGCTCACTGCTATATCTGGTCCTGGGGTACCTCCAGTGAGTACGACAGATTTAGATGCAGAAGGTATTGTTCCGGATGCGGCAGAGCTTGCCGTATTCTTGCTCGGTGGGACAATATCTTGCGGAACAGCCATGGTCGGCTGCGTGTCTCCATGTTCTTCATCAATCTTGATTGTGGTAGTACTAACTGGTTCTGCAGCCATCGGCTCCTGCTTAACGTTCGTTATCGGCACAGGAGGCAACTCAGTTGTCTTGGTTCTCGCGGCATCGGAACTGGGAATCCGTCCAGCGGGTGCAGGTCTGGGACTCATTTCTGCATCCGGCAATCCAAGTCCCTTCACAGAATTAGCGCCGCTAACCTTCGCCGGCACCTCCGGTGACTTGGACTCTGGCACCTCTGTCAACACCTCACCCATCTCACCAATCGTCGGTACTCTCGCTGCCTTTTTCCGTGACGCGTTGTTTCCCTCGCCGATCGTCTGATTGGAGAAGAACGTGAAGCGCTTTTTGCCGGGTGAGAACGTCGAGCTCTTCTTGGAGGATGATATGATTGAGCGCTCAGACGGCTTCGGTGACGATGTGCGATTGGACGCAGCAGCTACGGGGGATGGCAGCTTGGGAGAGGAGGCGGGGCGGGTAAAAACTTGTTCGAGGACCAGCCAACTGATCGGCCGACCGCCTGCTTCGACATCTTTGAGAGGCTTCAACTGGCAGACAACGAAGATAGGCCAGTCGGAGGCGATAGGATCGAGGAGCGCGTCGCTCCAAAAGTCGACGAATGCCTCATCTAATTGAATAAGGCTGACCAAGGTGCATTTCTGTTTGAGGTTCGCCGTACTTTCAGCAGCTGTTCTATTCACAGCCGTATCATTTGATGAGGAAACGCCTGAACGCGATGTGGATGATGCCTTGCGCTTGTTAGATTTTCGCGGGTCAAGAGGCGGTTTCGTCACCTCGATGTCGCTGTCAAGCAGGGTCGCAGCAAAGTCCTTTCCCAATGCGCTTTCGCCAAATCCACTTGCTGAGAAGTCTGACCAGTCTTTCGGTGTCTCGAGATTGTCCGAAGATACCGTCGCAATGGTCCCATTGGTGGCATCCTTGCCATGACGTAGAGATCGCGGTGAGAGTGAGCGTTTACTACGAGAATCAGGGTGATTGGTGGCAGGGCTTGCATCATTTGCGTCCTTGCCAGGGACTAACGACAACAAGCGGATCGTCTCCTCAGTGAACACACGGGACCAGGCGGAGTCGACCTCTACAGTGCTCACGGATTGGACGGGAGTCACTATTGCCTGTTTTATAGCGTCCCAGATGCTATCATACTCGCCATGATCTGGCCGAGATTCTGCCTTGGTAGCATCAGTGATGACGCGAAAGGGATGTTGTTTCGGTGGGGAACTCTTGATGTCTGGCAGTTGCACCTCCACGCGGACGTACAATGCATCATGTCGTCGGGTGGACAGACGTGGCCTCGGTAGCAGTCCTTCCTCAGTCGAGCCATCGCTGGGGAACGGATAGCTTGCTACGAGTTCAGCGAGCCGCAGAGGCATCTTCTTGTGCACCATGTCGTCCCTAAAGCACAATCGTTTGTCTTAGCACAAACAAGTCACGAGATAGATATGAGTGCGGACCTGATCTGCGCCAGAAATAGGTGCTCCAGAATCCTCCCCGCACGTTCCCATCGTGCGTAGAATGATGACCAGTCGTCATCGTCTTCAGTCCTACGCGCCGTGAGCAGCCACAGGCCTAGAAACTTCGACAGCTTGCTGCCGGAGGTGCCATTTCGTTCCGAGTGCGCCGCGAGAGAGGACAGGATTTCCAAAGTGGCGACGAGCAATTGCATGTGGGCAGGAGGCAGCTGCGGGGCGAGACATTGGGAGAATGCATTGGGTGGGTAGGACGCTGCTCGTTCTGCGTCGGCAAAGTTGGCGTACCACTGCCACGGATCGGATCCAACCCCAAAGGAGTCGCCGCCCAGTCGTAGATGCCGGAGCGCCCACCGCAATACAGCGGCAATGTCATGCGGCGAGCGCGTATACTCCAGCTCAGTAATGAAAATAGTCAAGGGAGAGTTAGGGTTCGGAGAGAGCGTGGTGACGGTGTTCTTGGGAGCCAAAGAAAGAATGAAGAGCGATATGAGCTTGCGCTGTATGTCGGGAGAGGCGGAGTACCAATGTGGGTGCATGACTCCGAGTGTCTCGAGACCTATGAGAGACCTGTAAGCGATGAAGTGTTATATTAACGGCAGACATACCGCCACCATCCACAATAGCAGCAGAGCAGGCCTTGACAAGCAGAAGCGTCTCATGTGGGTTAAGTCGCTTCTGCCCGATGACACTGTCTGTAACGACCGCATTGCGGTCATCAGGATCCGCCTCGAACACCACTCCCAGTGCACGGCTCTTCTCCTCCTTCGGTATAGGAAGGTTGAGTGTCAGATGGGGAGCATCAGATGGAGGTGGCTTGGGTACAGCAGCAGGCGAAAGGGGACGAGACCTCGTTCTGAAAAGGGAGAATCCTGCATCCCGCTCCTTCTCCCTCCCTCTTGATTGGGACGCAGGCTCTGCGAAGTTAGATGCAGATGGCGAAATCGATGGTGAAACGGCTTCGAACTTGCCCTCCAGCAGCGAGGCGACCGAGGAACGTTTCTGCGGACGGTGTGTGTCCTTCTCCTCCTTTCTGCGTACAAAGACCTTTGAGAGAAATGAAGGCATAGCGAATCTGGCGTATACGTGGAGAATAAAAGAACCAGGAAGTGGATAATGAGGTCTGCAGCCTATTCAAAGGCTCGAGACCGTCGATGGACGCGACACGAACGCTGTGGCGACTGTTGCGCTCAATTTCTCGGCTAATATTGGCGGATTTCCATATGTGGCTATCGCAAATAACCAGCTCTATATTAGTCTGGGCCACAACCTGTTCTGATTCCTGAACTGCACCCGCTCCAAATCATCGGGATCAACTCCAGCTTTAGTTGCCAAGATACCTAGATGTTATTTCAGGGTCTTCACGTACGAATTCGGCTCCGTTTATCGGTCTGTTCGTGGCATCATCCGGCGGTTGTCGTCTCCAGCTGCCTCCGTCAATTCAGAACTATCTTTGTACACGAGCGATTGCTGCGGTGTAGATAATCGCGGATAACACCGAACTTCACGAGCATAATGGGCGCTGTCGCGCTGAGAGGTATTACGTCAACTGCAGGCGCATTTCCGAGAACGCATATAACCTCTCCGCCAACGAACGCCCATCCACTCAAGGCGCTATACGTTCGGCTACCTTAGTGTTTTGACTACAGCAAGAACTTCATTGCTAATTGCCCTGCACTCAGCATCTCGAATTTGGGGCGTGCCTATCTGGTATGACTCTCTCGCAAATCAACACTATTACGGCCTCTCGACACAGAGGCATCATTACTATACTTTCTTGTCTCTGCGACACCAGCGTCGACGGTCACAGTAAACCTGCACCTGCGACCGCTCGCTTGTGGAACTGGTCGTGCTACTGATACGGGTATTTCATCTGCCATCGTCAGTATGATATCTTTCGTGCCCTCAATGAACATCTCACCAGGTCGCGTACCCTGCGAAGACTTATAAATGTCCGACGCATTGGTGCGGTTGTGGCAAGGAGCTCCGCATGCTCAGCGGTTTTGGCCAGCACGTACTCGAGAGCGTGATATGCGACGTGATCAGGTTCACGGCACCTCCGATCGATCCTCAACGGATCCAGTTCGGAGGATGCCTCTTCGTTCTTTGAAGACACTCATAAACCTGGTCGTCACACTTGCCGAATGCTCTACCTTGCAAACATCACAATACTGTGTGCCACATCTCATCCTCAGTATGGCACACGTATGACACTCACGCGTCAGGATAATCATGAGGCTTGCTCTACTGCTTCCGGAGAGGAGTTGGCCAAATGTCACCAGATGGTAGAGTTGGTTGCTGAAAGCTGCTCTTACGGGACTACGACTATTTGGTGGGAACCCCCCTGACTTGTTCGATTCTTGTCGATTCCTTTTACCTAGCCAGACATGCTATCACGAAATCTGAGCTGAAGATTCGTTCAACATTATGCGCAGATAGCGAGAAACGTTCAATTGTCTGACATCAGTATGAGCGACATCATTTCTCGCCCGTGGAAGTGCACTGTCGAGCTCCATCTCCATCCCGTTGTAACTTGTCAGATCCACCATCAATAGCGGTTTATGTTCCTATGCCGAAAGACTTTGCCTCATGCCTAAAATCTGATGCGCTGACTGACTATGCGGAATAGGAAGCACTGCTGCGCCATGTGCAGTTATGTGAGCGATGTTCCGCGCAACCCCAGGATCGCGGCTCGGTCGGCATCGGTGAGCCTCCCGGAGGTCTGCGGTTTCCGTGGTCGCTTGCCTGCTGCGCGTCAGACGCCTAACGATTTTCTGTGCGGAGGATTGTCAATGACGCTGAGGCCTGGACAATCACGGAAGATCGACTTTGCACGGTGACTGGCGCGTAAAAGGCTTCCGCCATCAGCGATGCAATCTAAGAAGGCATTCTCCACCGGCGGATGACGGATGGTGTCTGCTACCAGTATGTCACTCTCCTCTTTATTGCCTATGGTATCGGACGGATGGTGATATGCTACTTAGCCAGCCTGATATTGGACCTTCTAAGGCAGCCCAGATGTATCGCTGATATAATTTTTGCCCTACAGCTATACATCACAGCGTTCTCCTGTACAATGTGTATTATCGAGCTCCTTGGTCATCCTGCATAAAAAGACATCCGAGAAGGAAAAGCTCGAGGCCCAGACTTACTTGGCCGTCCGCACCCATCAATTGTCGCAGCATCGCACATTGAACCCTACCTACATAACGTCTATGATTATCCACGACGTCACTCACCGCCCCTTTCCCGTGACCCAAACTGCACATCATCCAAATTCGAAACCTCCAATATTATCCTCCGAGTCAGGCCTCATGCCATGGCTCAGTCATCGCCTCCCCCCCCCCCTCCCGATATCATTCCGGTTGCCCCGCTACCGAGACCTCATCATTACTCGCACTGTTTCTGTTTCGTCTCGGCACTTCTGTACGCAACGCCCACAACCGCCCTCAACAAGCCCACCGCTCAGAATACGCGGCACCGGTACCTGGCTCCGGTCTTCGTCGCCGACTTCCGATCTCCAATACCAAATCTTGTTCCGTTCGCCGATGTGCGCTTGAGATCATGTTGACGCTCACTCCTGCGTCTGCAAGGGGCGGGCCTGGTCCTAGAGAGATGAACTTGGAGCGCGTCACGGTGACGCCGGCCGGGTACCCCTCTCAATATGATTCCGGATCCAGTATTCATTTCGAGCAAACGTTCGTACTTCAGTAGCCTGCGCTACTCTTTCAATTCATGGTGAAAGATATCTCGCCCAGGATCACAGCTCAGGCTCAGGCTCATTCTTAGTCACCGTGTGGCGCCATCGGCGAGCGCAGTAAGCTCATCGGAGAGATGGTGGCGGGCGCCGTCCGATTGCAATTCCCTTAACGCTGACCGGTTTCCTGAAGCAGGTGCCTTTTGGCGCGAGCTCATAGGTGGTTAGTGAGGCGGAGAGGGGTGGGATGAAAGTGAGTTGAGATAGGACCTGTCATGCCCCGATAGATTTGATCGAGCTATTCGGCCCGTTCTTCTCTCAGGTGTAATTGCGAAGCTGGACCGACCGCTCAGTGTGCGTGCAACCCAACCGCTCAGCCCCCTCCATTCGCATTCGAATGCGCTACATCCGCCTTGTAGCTCATCTACCTGTCCGCAATGCCGCACTTAAGTGCCGCTGTCATTCGAAATTCCAGCCACTGTAATGCAATGCAAGCTGACTGCTGCGGACTTTCGGGAAATCAGGTCGACAAACCTTCTCCGGCATTCAACGCGATGCCCTAGCCTAAATATCTGCTGCGTCATGATGACAATATTTTGGACCGTCAGGACGATCATGCCTGGCCCAATCGTTGCCGATAAGTCTCAAATCCGAGCATCGTACGCGGAGCCGCAATCACGCCTATAAATCCAAGTGTATACGAGTCCACCTTCGTCGGCGCATTAACTAGTCCGGTCGCATCGCAAATGTCCAAGAGGCGCTTCCTCTCTGACGCCAGGCCGGTAGCACCGTGGAGCGCAGCGTCTGCCACTCCACGCCCCTGGATCGGAGCGCTGCCGATATAGCGGTGGTGAGGACAGGCTGGGACCTGACGCGGATGCATACGTCAGGCCGGGAGGGAGAGGGCACGAACTCGGTGGGTAGATGCATCTGCACGTGGCGCGAGATATCTCGTCGTTCCCCGTCGGACCGATGGCTCGTTCTAGCGATGACCGCACATCAGTGATTCAATCAGTACGCAGCCGTCTGTGTCGAGTGCGGACGTTATATAGATAGCTCAGGAATGACGGATGCGGCTTGAAAAAAATCGCGGGCCTGTCACCGTCAGTGAGAGTAACTAAACGGGCATGGCTGAATGATTGCAGTGATGGTTACTACTGCGTGCTGAGCTGGGCGGTCTGTCTACTATGCCAGTTGAACTAGCGTGTACAAGCCTTTTTCACACCCTGCCACTCTGCATCATTCAGCCTCATCTCCAGGCAGCACATAAATGATCCCGTGCCCAAAATGTGTCACTGGCAGCCTTTCCTGCGATTCAGGATCTCCGGCGGCTGAGGGCTGGGTACGAGAACCCACAGATCTCCTCTTGTCGAATCTGACTAAGATAATCGCCAATCGCGCCAACGCGTCCAGCATAGAGCATTAGAACCGCCGACCGCCATCCCGCAGTGGTTCTCCCCGATTCATCTGATGTGCCGCTGCTATTCTAGGATGTTGTTGTATTTCGGCTAACGACTCGTCTAGTGACGCGAAGTCCGATAGACGATTGATGGCGGTGAGCTCGGTCTACAGTCTCCGCGTTGATTAAGTGCATTTGTTTACAATTCGCGAAGGGTGTGTGTTTGTGCGCGGCTGTGTTGGCGCAGAAGCTCCGCCTGTCACGCTAGGAGCATAGAGCGCAATAGAAATCTTCTTCACTACAAGTAGTCCAGAAAGTACCAAAGAACGCCACTTCTGATCCGTCGGGCTCGGTATGGTGAATGCTGTGCAATGCTGTGAGTCAGCATGAACGTCCCGCCTGATGCGCCCTACACGTTTGCCATGCTGACAATTATTGCCAAGCACTGGCTCGAGCTCCTCATTTAGTTCAGCGTGGGCGTCTAAGCTATAAGCTGAGATTGCGACGAGCGCTTACGAGCAGCGGGTGGCGTTCGGGCGCTAGAATGGAATGGAGAGGCTTGCTACCGGAGATCGGGTGGGAGACCGAGAATTTGCAAGTGCGTGCGCGTGAGGCGGGGGCGTGGGTTGATGCAGACGCCCTTGTGCGGTTCCTGCGTTCGGGTTGCTGCAGCGGGTGCCAGAGCGAGCTCGCTTGGAGGTGATCACTACGAAGGTTGCGAGAGACTGTGTGACCTTCGACGTACACGGGCGCCTCAGTGTTCCGAGCTCGACCAACACAATTGGCATAAGGCACGCGGGTGAGAACCGCCTCTGTTCAACACCGTCGTCGGCAAAAAGTCCTTGCGGTCCCAGCCCAGAGGTCCGCTGATGAACGCCCGTGGCCAGCGTGATGATCAGCTGCGCGTGCACTGCTGCGGAGGTTGACGGCCGCGAAAATGGACGTCAGTGGTCGGTCGTCAGTCAAGGTCTGCCGTTCGCCGCCGGTCGTCGAGCGACGTGGCGTGTCGCGCCGTAGATGTGAACGGAGAGGACCTTGAGCAATCAAATTGGCAGGATTTGAATGGCCGAGGCGAAGAGGCCGAGGGATTTGCTGCGTGGGAGGGCGGTGGACGCTCGCGGAAGCTCTCCGCGGCGCGCGCTCGCCCGGCGGGCTGTGAGTCTCCTGCCGACTGCACAAACGCCCGGGTCATATGAGCCAGCCGTCGCGATAACGAGCTCCCCCTCCCTGCATCTCGGAGGGCTGTGGTGATGTTCATGCGACGAGTTGGCGGAGTGGTGGTGTACCTGGCCCCGCCGGTGTATGATGGGAGGCAGTGTCGGCAGATGGGACGGGGAGGCCTAAGAGGTTCCCTGTTCTGGCATCCATCACCACGTGGCGCGGTTGCTGAGATTTGAGCGAAGGGCTCGGAGCGCCTCCGTGTCGTCGGACCCTTCTCCTCCTCCCTCCCTCTTTAATCTCGACCCTCCAGATTTCCCGCCCAGGGAGTCGAGGGCCTTAATACCTTCGCATCCTCCTAATCGCGCGACTATCCGCACGCTGTCCTCCCCGTCTTCCCCCTCTACCCCTACTCAGCGCTCTATTTGATAATAATCGGCCGCGCACGCTTCTGCTTTCGTTCCCCGTCGTGGTCCTTGCATGTTCTGAACCGCGCCCGGTCCGCATCTGCATTTGAATTGTCGCGGCACCTCCAGCATAACGTGAGTCACTCGCCTGTATTGTCGGCATGGCACTCACTCAGCCGCGGCGCGCCCGCCCGTCCGCAGTTATAGCATACCGACCGAAGTACTCATTACCGCATCCCACATCAAATCTACATACGCTCAGCCCTAATGGACATGGACACGTCTCCCGCATATCCGATCCAGGACCCACTGCAGCATGTTCCCATGGACTTGACATCCTCATCAGCTCCGTACTCCCACCCGCCCTCCGCATCCTCCTCAACGCACTCTTCCCCGCACCAGTTCCACCCGCGGCCGATGCAGACGACACCTGGCTTCTCGCCGCACCAGCAATACGCGCATACACGGCATCACTCACGCGTCTCCAGCGCTGGCTCTGCCACGTCTCTGCACATCTCAACCATGGCCGCTGGCTCGCATGAACACGAGCTCGACGAGCAGACCGCGCACCCCTTACGTGTCAACGGACAGTCGAGCGTCGACATGCTGGTCGAGAACGAGCAAGGTCACGAACGTGGTCAAGCCAATGGGGAGGCAGAGACTCGGAATGGAGACACGGACGCAGAAACAGACACCCGGGACAGTTCGCCTGGAGGATCATCGTCCTCCATCGTCGACGCAATGGCAGACGGACAAGGGCTCTCGCGTCCGCTGACACATCATGAGCGCGAGAACATTACACATCTCGACCGGCTAAAGTTCTTCCTCGCCACTGCGCCTTCACGTTGGTCCTCCAACCCCTCCGACCCGTCCTCCTCCCAGGCTGTCCCTCCCGGCCATCCATCCTCTCCCCACCCCGCACTCAACCGCTTCCTCTTGCCCAGCTCCGAGTTCGTCTCATGCGTGCTCTGGGGCGGCCTGTACCACATCACGGGGACGGACATCGTCCGTGCGCTCGTGTTTCGGTTTGAGGCATTTGGGAGGCCTGTGCGGAACATGAAGAAGTTTGAGGAAGGTGTATTCAGCGATCTGCGGAACCTCAAGCCGGGCGTGGATGCGTGCTTGGAGGAGCCCAAGGTGAGTTGCGTGTCCATTTGGTTAGCGTTGGGCTGGTAGAGGGATGCCTTGGGGGGTGATGAGGATGCTGCATTGGGTTGGACGGGCGCGCCGTTGAGTCTTGGCATGCCAACACCCGCACCCCTCAATCAGTGGCGTTTCCAGCGCATATATGCGCATCATAGCGACTCAGCCATGTTCCTTCCTATCGCATGGGGCAGATCGCCTGCGAGCGCGATGGTTGGTTGAGACGCGACACGAGCCGCATTCTGGGCATCATTCGCGCATATATGCATGCCGTACTTCTTGATATTGTATCCAAGCCAAGCTCCAGTGGATTGCTGACCAATTTACCCAACTCAGTCGCCATTCCTGGACTTGCTCTTCAAGTACCAATGTATCCGCACGCAGAAAAAGCAGAAGGTGTTCTACTGGTGCGTTCCTTCAAATTCATGAGCGCGCGTCCACTTATCGCCCATTTGCAGGTTCTCCGTCCCGCATGACCGGCTCTTCCTCGATGCGCTTGAGCGTGACCTCAAACGCGAGAAGATGGGTCTTGAGCCGACGACCGTCGTCACGGGCGAGCCCGCGCTGTCATTCACGTACGACCCGAAGCGCTCGCTGTATGAGCAGTTCAGCAAGGTTCAGAATGACGGCGAGGGCGAGCTCGAGGCCGCCGTGCGCGTCGCGGAGGAGGGCTCGGAGGGCCAGTCGCAGTCAGAGAGTGAGGGCGAGAAGGGCAAGGAGAAGGAGCGGCCAAAGAAGGCAACGGGTCCGAACTCGCCGTTCTTCTCGATGTTCTCACTCTTCGAGGGCTCGCCGACGTACAAGCAGCGGAGAAAGAAGGTCGGCCGACATCCAAGCTCATCTGCCGTACGGCGCTACGGACCTGGAAGTGGGAACGGGACGATGACGGGCGAGATGTACGTGGATGAATACGGCCAGGCGTTTCCGCTATCTGCCCCGCAACCTTTCGGGTCGATGTCAATACCCTCGCGAGTGCCGGAACCGCAGCTGGACAGATTCGGACGGGATATAACGCGCATGAGCGCGGCGGAGATGTTCAATAAGCAGGCGCAGGGCGACTTTGGCGGACAGAGCAATCCGGATCTGGTTGCGAGCCAGAAGGAGCGGCAGCGGCGGGCGATTGAAGCGCAGTTGGTGGCACAAGGGCAGTTTGGAGGCCTCTCGAGGGCACCGAGTGTCCAGCCGGGTCCGTCGCAGTTTGCCCCAGGAAATGCGAGTGCGAATGGGAGCATGCAAGCATCGTTGTTGATGCAGGGCACATCATCGCCGGCGGGGAGCCCGATGGTCGTGGCACAGCAGTTGTATCAGCCTTCGCCTATGCAGCACCGTCCGAACCTCGAAGCTCGGCATACACTGCCATCGTCCACGCATACGTCGATGTCTTACCAGCAGCAGCCTGCCCTTCGACCAGACTCGACCGCTTTCCCGCATGCAAACGTTTCATTCCCTAACGGATGGCCGCCATCTGCGCCCGCTGCAAGACCCACCGCGGCGCCGGCGCAGCGCTCGACGAAGGCGTTCGTCTGCCCGCTGTACTTGTGCGGGCGGATGTTCAAGCGGATGGAGCACCTGAAGCGGCACCTGCGCACGCACACGCTCGAACGGCCGTACCAATGCCAGCACTGCTCGAAGCGCTTCTCGCGCTCGGACAACCTCAATCAGCATATGCGTACGCACATGCGCGTCGGGTCGGATGGCGCGATGGTGCTCGTCCTCCCTGAGAGCGGTTCGAATGGCGTGTCGGACGCGGAGAGCGAGGAGGTGGACGAGCTCGAGGGCGACGATGCCGCCGCGTGGGAGATGCACGGCGTCGCTGGTGAATACATCAACGGCGTGGGCCAGATCGGGAACGTGCAGATGTACGAGGTGGAGGTGCAGGGGCCGGTGCAGGAGGTACAAGGCGACGAGGAGGGACTCGTGATGCCCACGGGCCCGGTCAACCCCGCGGCGACGGCGACGGCGATGGACACCGCCGGGGAGGAGGGCCACAGCCAGGGCCAGGACGCGTATTACACCGCGGAGTCGATGGCGCAGATGACGCGCGATTCTCCTGAGCAGCATGGCGCATATGGGACCATGAGCACGCATTCCTCCCCGGGTGGGCAGTGGACGACGATCCTGCGGCCCGAGTCGAGCATGAGCGTGTCGTCGTATGCGGCGGCGCCTTCGCAATCCCAGCAGCACGTCCGGATGGGCTCGGTGTACGGGTCTTCGAGCGAGTACGTCACTTCGATATCGGCGCCGTCGCACAAGGCAACGTTCGACCATGCGACGCTGTACCCTCAGGATCTGGAGCTGACTGGCCCGGGACCGATCAGAAGGCATCGGAGCGCGACGCCTTCAGTGCCGAAGTTTGGCGAGGCGATCAGGAGGCCGTTCTCTGCGGCCTTGTCGGACCATGGCACGGCCAATGTTGCGGGGCAGCGCTCGTTCCATCCGTATGCTGTCTCTGGGCACTATTCAGCGGAATCGAGTCCGATGGCGTACAGCATGCAGCTGGCGCAGAACCCGAACGGCCAGATGGCTGCTTCGGCAAGTCGGTCGCATTCGCGCTCGAGTTCGGGCAGCCATTTGCAGGACCAGATGGCGCAGATGGTCACGTACGGCCAGCAGCAGCAGGGCGCTGTGCAGGATCAAGCCATGTACATCGCACACAACGCGTCCGCGATCCCGTCATTCGCTCCGACATCAGATACGACGCCGATGCAGTACGCTCCGACGGACTCGTACGAGCTCGTCAACACGATGCAAACGGGAGGAACCTTCCAGCAGAACATGTCCGTCTACGAGTCGTATGCGATGGCGAATCCTCAGACCGCCCAATTTAGCGGCACACACCATTATGGCGCGGAGACCTATCCATCTCTCGCGTCCGGAAATCCTCATCAGGTCCTGATGTGACCTTTTTCTCAATCTACACTAGACGTACTCATAATCTACTCTAATTTTGCCAAACGCACTAATTTCGCCCTCGCAAGGTTCGGACTCGTTGTATCTAGTAATCGCTATCGTTAACCTCTTGCTGCAAAATACGGATACGGGCGGTCCACCGTTGTTTAACATGTTCTCGCCCTTCCCTTTACTTATCGAATTTCGCGTAATTATCCCCGCTAGTCGGGATATCCTGTTTCGTTCGACGACGCTACCGCCAACTGTCTTATACTGTGCCAAAGCCAAAGATGTCTGTACGATATATCTGCTCAATCGCATCGCGGTTCCGGTACACATTGACATACTCCGTCGTAGCGTCCCCAACCCCCTCTTCGCTTGTATAGCTACATTGATTGTGCAATACTGTTCGCGTACTCAACTGCCCGTCAGGTTACCTACTCGTAGTACGTAGTACGGTATCGATACATTAATATACGCTACTAATTCAAACACACGCCTTCTGCAAGCTCAATCTTCTTGACCGTCCCAGACGTAGTCACGAAATATGTTAGGCCAGTACCTCACCTCCCCGCTGCCTTCGCTCGCCCAGCCGCGCCATGCTCCAGCAGTGTTTGCAGTGACATTGACGCCAGAGCCGCCTTCGTCTCTGCAGATGAAGGAGTCGCCCTCTGCGTCGTTCACCATCTCTTGAGTCAGTCCAATAGGTAAGCCCTCTTCCTGTGCAATCTCAACTACTGTTTTCGGTCCATCTGCGGTAAGGGTGTCAGCGCTTCCGGAAATGGTGACATTCGTCGCTGCTACGTACGAGATTTCAGGTTATTATCGAGACGAGCGTTGAATTCGAGGAGCGCGTATTCTGGTATATGGAGCACGGAAAAGCCTGATGCGCGGAAAGTCCGCATGCATATGGGTGGGGATGTGTACGTTTGCAACCTAGGCACCACCTCTAAGAACGTGGATGGTGGAATAAGCGCTATTCACACATGGTGAGCAGTCGACCAACGTAACGATGGGCTAAAGACGTACCAACGCCTCTCGCGCGATTCCACCCTCCCCAGACTTCATCAAGACCAATGATGCCCCGCTTGCGCATCATTCCTTCTCGGCTCCCTGGTCCATCATCGCCTTGCAAAACTTGTGCCAATTCTTTCGCGAGCTCCTCCATCCACTTTTGCTCGTCCTTAATCATATCCAGCGTTACTGGTGCGTTAGTCATCTGTAACCCAAGCTGGGCGAGCGACGAGCGTATGAAGGTCGCTTCTTCAGGCTCCACAGCCTGCGTGATCATGGTCATCCCGCCATCGATGCTGGTCACGGCGCCTGCGGTGGCAGTCGGAGCCACTGGCGTCGACGAAGAGGCTGCAGTCAATCGTTCGTTGAGATCTTGAGCGAGCTTCACCATGTCTTTCCACTTGACCATAAGCGCCTCGAGGTCTTTGAGAGCATTTTCCATGTCCGTCTGTGTAGTCGCGGCAGTCGTCTCGACGGAGCGTAAAATACCATCTACATTCGTAACATTAGGCGAGAAGCGCTATGAGGGCCACTACCTGAAAACTCACTGATCCCTGAGAAGGCAGCAGACGGAGTCGCCGCCGATGCAGCGTTCGTAGACCCAACGGTCTTCTTGAGACTTTTTATCTATGTGAGAAAAGATAAACTACTTGAGTCTGAAAGAGCGAAAAGCGAATGCGTCACACATACCTCCCAGCCTTTTCCAAGCAAGCTCCTCTTCAGGACCGCGTAGAAGGCCTTGTCTCCTCCTTTCCGGAAACTAAGCCTGATCATCCTCGTTTCAGGACTATCTGAGCCGTCGTGATCCCTTGGAGTGGCTGGGCGAGAGGCTGGTGCAGACTTAGCATGCGGGTGATAGCCTAGTTGCACGGATGGTTGGGGCCTGGGTAATGGCGAGCCACACATCTCACATCGAGTCAAGTCAGGATGGTTCAAAAAGGTACACACGACGCATGCCACCTCTTGGCTGCCATCCTGCAGAAGATGGGGAGGTATGGGTGACGATGAGGACGATGATGTGAGTTGCGACAAGTCGACTGAAGATGAGGGTAGAGACAAGGATAGATGATATGGACTTGAGGATGCGTTACTGGGCCCATCCGCTGAAGACTGAGTAGATGGGCGGGGAACCCCGCAAAGGCCGCATATACGCGAAGCGGCAGGACTTAGGCCTGGAGGATTCCGATAATTGCACACATCGCAAGTCCATGACTTGAACGCCGGGTCGTCTACCGCGCCATCATATGCTCCCATCGGCGCATCAGCCGACGAACTTGACCGGAGCGGATATAGATATAGGGTGACCTTTGGAGAACTAGTGAAGAGACCAGCATAGTATTCCGTCTTCTGGACATGCGCCAGATCTAGCTCGAAGGATCGTGTCTCGGGATGAGCGGCGTCGATGTAGAAGAGGCGGTGAGTCGTCACGTAGATTGTACCGGACTGATGCGGAGCAGACTTTTCGGTGCTAGAATTATAGAGAATTAAGAGCTGAATGAGAACAATCTGATGAGTGAAGCAGATGCCCTCGCGAAAATAATCGTATGATAAAGAAAGAGCTCCGTCTATCGAGCTCCTCAACTCAAAGGATCGGATGGGAATGATTGCAACGAATAGGTTGACGTACCCATCATATATCCCCACTCCTTCCCGCGATGCAAGCGACTCCTCGTCTGGGTAAAGTAGTGCAGGAACCGGGATGGTTCCATCAACGCTTCTCGAGTACCGCCTCAGACTCATATCGGTACGTCGTGTGCGCAACGAATTCAGAAGAGAAAGTAATCGCTTTGATCAACGTTCCACGCAAAGCTCTCAGATACCCAGATGTCTCTTCAGAACAAACTTGTAAAGCAGCACGAGTTACAAAGAACCGGACAAAGATGAGCTCGTGCTGGGTCCAAGAGAAAGTGAAGCAGAACAGACAGTCTCTCCAAAGGCGTTCTGCTCTAGCGAAAGCTGATAAGCTGTTTGAGTTCAAGGAACATGCTATGGGTGTAGTATAAAGAGATGAGAGACTGGAGTCATCGAGTAGTTGTGAGAGATGGTGGCCGCGCGAGCAACAGACTGCGTAGACGCCCGTCAGGATCAGTTAAATGCAATGCACATTCGAAGTTACACTTCTAGTAATACATCATAAACTAATGTTGCGTAGAGTAATACATTAATGTTGCACAACCAGTGTCTGAAGAGATTCCAGTGTCCGCGTGAAGTTCGAGGTCGTAGGTGCGTCAAATTGACAATGGTGTGACTATGCCATTGCTGGCAGGTCTTCCTTCGGGCGCAGGTCCGTGAAGAGAACGTGATGTCCAAGAAGAATGAGGTCCAAAGAAACATTGATAAGAAGGAAGGTGCAGGGATTGCAGTCGCCGGTCATGTTGGAGTGATGGGAGTGTCCAAGCATATCGTGGAACAAGGGTCACTGACGCGACATCTTAATGACTACGATGTCGCATTCAGTCACTCATCCGACATCCTGTGCTATGAATCATCCGCCGTCACTGTCGTTGAGCAGGCGTCAGTTCTGGAACAAACATGAAAGAGGACCGACCAGCGTACCGATTTCAACTTCCACGATATTCCTCGCAGCAAGAAGCGGGAATCGGGAGAGGATCTCAACGCGGCAAGCACTCGCGAAGGCGATATCGAAGTTCCCGACAACCTGGAACACGACCCTTTCCAGCTTCTTAAACTGGGGTAAACACAGTGCGATGTCAATCTTGTCGCAGTGATAATGTTTGAGCTTCAGCGGTTTCGGGAGCGGGGGCCAACGGACGGTCACGTCCGAAATCAAGGATGAGGAGATCGATGGCAGGAATTCGCTGGCCCAGTCATTTCCGCCATCAAAGTCAAGCTGTAGCGTCGACAACCGTGTATTGTGCACCAAGCGAGGCAAGTGCCCATCCCACGGTGATATGAGCTTGTTTTGCGATCGCAGACCGCTTGATGGCGGAAGGCCTATTGCGAACCGCCGAAGGGATGATCCCGCCGTCTCCAGCAGCCTGTTGACGTGCTCGACCTCCTGCGATCCAAGGAAGTAAGTCGACAGGCTTTGAAGATCGGCAATGGATGCGATTGCAAGTAGGAAGTCAGCCAACTCTGCTGACCAATTCATTTGGCGCATGGAGAGATGATTTAGTGGAAGACGACCGTCGTGCTCCTTGAGTAACGCCGGATCATACGTCTTCTTCAACCAATCCACCATCCAACACGAAAGACTGGTAAGCCTCGGTAGTGCGCAAACAAGCATGACGTAATCGCCAAACGTCGGAAATTGGATTCGATGAATTTCCAGGGTGGTGATGCTGGAGAACCGCGAGAACGCACAGAAGAAGTCTGGATGTACGTATGGGTAGTAGTCGCGGCGGATGTCGATGCGGAGACGATTCACATTCGGCAGCTGCCCTCCGAGGGTGAAGGGAAATGACCCGAAGAGCTGCGATTGCATGTGATAGGGAACCACAAACAGCTCCCTGACTATCCTACCGAGGCGTGGTTCTGCCTCCACCATACTCGACAATTGAGTGAGGTGCTCCTGGCGACGTAGCTGAATACTGTAGAAGAGATTGTGTCGACTCCTGTGCAGCCATGCCTTGCATGTCAGGGAGCATGCAAACAAGGCTTGACGATCGGGCCACACAAAGTCGATGATGAGCTCGAAGATCTCCAGGGGGAAGGATGGTCCCGCCTGTAGCTGGGTACAGTCGTCTGGACCATTCAGCTTTGAGTGATGACGCTTGCGCTTGAACATACGCGCAAGGCGCCGCAGGACCTTGTTCGACTTGAATTTTCGTCCCATGCTTGAAGGAGAATGCATGAGGACGCCGTCAACTAATCGAGAATGTGACTCAGCAACGGATATACAAAGTGCGTTGCGCCACCTACCGTTAGCAACGGACGTTTAGAGGGTCGCCACGCGCTAGATATCAAGCGAGATAATTATATGTAGTTCGGGCTCTGCAGAACTTTATCAAGGACTTTTGGTAGGTGCAGTACCTGTTCACGCCTTACGCCGCTGATATATTAGCGCCCGAGACTGTCGGACGCCACGCGCTAGTAGGATCATGGGATCGTCAACGCTGTGACCACTACTTTAGAGAACGGAGAAAACGAACCTTACTAGCTTCAATTGTCCGTGAGTCCAGCTGGTGCAGTTATATCCACAAGAGGCACGTCGAGTGAAGCCAAGCGAGAAGATCACGGAGTGCCTGGCAGGTGAAACGGCCGAGCGCGGATTGTCTAATCCTAGTTCTCCCTGTGAATAACCCACCAAACGAAGTCACGCAGAGACAGGAGATGACAACAACTGACTAAATACTAGAGCATGTGCGGCATTTGTGCGGTACGATCTGTCCCCGGAGGGTCAAAGCGAGTAAGGGCGGTACTGCGCCCAGTCGCCTTGTGGAGATATGGGTGGGCTAGGAGCGCCTCGACGTGCCGACAGCCGCCCGGGAATCAAGTAGAGAAGGCAGTGCGGGAAGTCACGGATGCCGTCTGCGATAGACGGCTGATGCGAATCAAGGCTTCTCACTGCGACGGTGCATATTTGAAGAGGAGAAGTTACTATGAATGTACTACAGCCATACCGACCAACGTACGTAGCCATGCAACCGCCGTCAACAGCTCCATCGGCCACACCGTTTAGCAGCTTGTGAGCGGCCCAATAACCCCTGCGTGGTGACACGCCCGTACCTTCAGGGAGGTATACTTGACAATTATTACCTTAGGCCATGGAGACGACAGGCGGGACACCGCGGAAGGACCGGGAAGCGAGATGGCATTTCAGTAATAGAATGCAGGCGAGCCCACCGGAGGCCACAGCGAGTATGAGAATGCTGTGCACACAAAAGGGGGCTGTGCATTCAAGATATAATGCATGCGACATCAAAAAATTGCGCGGAGAAAATTGCAAGTGCCAAGCCATGATCACAGGTAAAAGTCTGCTTGCAGAATGAGAGTTGCGAAGGTCACGTACACGACTCTGAGACAAAGTGCTGAGACAAAGTGTGGCGCCCACCTTGCTTGGGGCAAGGCTGAGTGAGCTTTTCGGCCGCGTCATCCTCTAAGAGTTCCAAGAGGAACGGCGCACGCTCTCTCCGCCGGGTAGACACGGCATCATGAAAAAGGTGCACGGAAGCAGCTGTGATGTAAAAATAGCTTTATTTCCCACCTACAGAAGACGAATGCGCACGATCAAATGCTGTCGAGACAGTATTTGAAAGCGAGTGGAGTGGATGCCGAGTGTGCCATCGAGGCGGTGATTCAGTGCCATAGTACAGCTCACTTCCGCGGATATTGACATTCATCATGATCGGCTGTCAAAGTAGGAGCAAATTGACATGAGCCACAGAGTGAAAAGAAATTCTGACGAGATTCACAGTTGTGGGCATGCATCAGCGTCGAGTGTCTTGCGTCAATACGCAATACGACAGTCAGTGCTGCAAGCTGTGCTGTTGCGTTCATATGCGGCCCCCTTTGATAAACGTCAGTCTAGTGGCAGTGAATGAAAAGATGGGCTTCGACCTTCTGTATATTCCTAGATGGGAGCAATGGCACTAGAAGCAAATGGAGAAAAGCACGCGCGTCGGACGTTCGTCCAGTGACGTGCGTGCGTTAAATGCAGTGAGAAAAGAACAAGCTTGACGTGGCTCTCCACGGTTGAAATGCTCACCAGAATTTACGCTTCGGTGCTTCATATCATCGGACTCCAATACTACAGCACGCTTCGTTTCACCTCGTGTTGCGAGCCGTCGGGAATGAACCTTTCGGAGCATATCGCAAGGCAAGCACTGGGGGTGCGAACTTCTGAATATCTGCAAGGCGCCGTTGTAGCTAAAACAAAATTTTAAAAAAGCAACAGCGACGCAACAGGCAAGTTGCGATAAGACGAGTCGACATCTATCCTCCGTTGGTCGAGCAACAAGACAAGCAGAGCTACCCCAGTCTAGGCCGGAGAGCGTCAATAGAAGCCTTCCATTGCCAAGGTGGAAGGGGGGAGTGTATACGGCATTCCGAGCGAGATGGAGAGAACACACCTCTCAGTCACACTCTCCGTGTCAACGAGCTGCCACTGACTTGTATACACAGCTTTCGGGATATATAAGCACTGCCCAGGAAGAAAGACAATGGATCCCACGGAGCTGAGGTTTAAACGAAAAGCCATTAACCGGTTATTCCACTATTAGGACCGTTGTGAATCAAAAGCGGCGGCCTTCAACCAGCAAGTCTTAGTCCATCGAGAGGCCGCAGAAACACTGACCAAAATCGAGTATGCACAGTCCCAACATTTTGCCAAGCTGAAGCTAGAAGTAAAATAAAATGAAGTCGTGAAGACTAGTGCCATGTCACCGGCGTGACAAATGCGTAACGTCACACATTTGCGTCACATATGATGCGGCCACAACGCGGTTTAGTTCAACAATGTTCAATATTCAATGTTCAACCGCTTACTTGGGGGTGTCGGCGCTGCATCCGCACGCCCGGGTCCGAATGACCACGAGGATGTTCCCACAGGGGAGAATGGATAACTCAGTTCATTTATGGTAGCAGGAAAGATACAAAAATTCAGATCGAGTAGGACGGAAGGGCAGAGTAGTTTACAATTACATAACACTCGATGTACAACAGTTGGCATCAGCAAAACTAAGCCAGGAACCTCCCAATCACAACGGGGAACGATTTCTGCATTTCTTGTAGACTAACCAGCTTACAGGCAACAACATCTGTCACCTCGAGTACATGTGAGGCCACGAACTCATACAACGTAGCGAAACAACAACTATCACATACTATTATAATGTAGAAGAGAATGTACCACAGCATCCACATTACGATTGACATGTTTCAGACTCATGCCATGCACTTCGATGAGTTTAGTAATGGTGACTAGTTCTAGTTGAGTGTGCCAAAGTTTCCACCCATCCTTATGCACCATGTCAATGTTCTTGAAGTGAGTGTATCGTGTACAGGAGACGAGTATCAGCGGAAAACGGAGCAGAAATGCACGCTAACTCACACACCATAAAAACATTGGAGCATCGCAGACCAACTCCCTCAGACAATAGAGACACACTGTTGAACGCGACAGACATGCGGGCGATACGCTGCCTTTCACACTAAAAAAGCAGTTGCAGGCATCGCTGCGTGACAAACAACCACACAACAAAAAGCGAGAGACAGACAACATCAACAAAGTCAAGCAGTCACAATAGCAGTAAACAGCAGCCACGTATGAACACATGCGGATGCCAGCAGAACAGGGATCAATCGCCACAAGCACACTGAAACATTCGGGGCACTCACGCAGCCACAAGCATGGGAAACGGGCAACGAGGGTCATGATAATGTAAGCACATGCTCTGCAATAGCTCGCTATAACCTGAATGACTAGGGTCATTCGGAACTACTAAAGTTGAACATTGAAGCTTGAAGACTAGCCTCATGGAAAAATATGCTGCAAATAATTCTTATCGTATGTGCTGTCTGTTCGGTGTTGTCTCTAGACTGAGTCTACTGAGCTGGATCATGAATGGAACCCTCTATTGGTATGGAGAACTGCATCATGGCTGACGACCCCACGAACTCATCTGAGATCGGGAGATCAAAGTTTCCATATGGGCTGGAATGCTGAGTACCAGATTGTTGGCATCATCCAGAACCGTGAATATTTGGAAAATGACTGGAGCAAAGTCATCAATCCATGAAGGCCGCCAACGAAGTGCATGAATATGGATTAGGCATGGCTATACCATGGCTTGAAAGAAATAGAGCAGTTGATGATGCAAGGCCTGTGCAAAACGTAGTTGAACTCCAAGACGGAACTGTGCTCAATGCCGACAAGCTCTCAGGAGAGGAAAAAATAGACCTGCTCTGGACGTGTAACTGTGCACTTCGGGGCCGAGGTCCTCATGTGCTGTATGACTGTCTATCCTTACGATACAAAACCATGGATAGGCATTCATCGTGCCCCTCATCAATTTCACGGAGCAGTACAAAACGATAATGTCGAGGTCATTTGTGATGTAAGTGCATTGTGATGTCATGCAACGAGTGGCATCTGATAACTTTTTAGAGAAAGCAAACTGCTTTCGGAGTACTGATCGCGACTAGGAATGAATTCTGGGTATGTACAGCCTCCCACTCTATATCTCAATTTGTGTAATGTAGGCTCATGAGATAAATACAGTTTTTTTTTGGTACATTTATTTGTAGACCACGCTATGCGCGGTGGTAGGGATAGATACAAAGGTGTTCCAGACAATGAAGTGTCGATGCCGGGGTGGTGAACATTAGGGAGAGGAGCCACTAGGGCAAGAGAATGGGTAACCTATCCAGGATCAGGTGGAGCCAGTGAGGCCACCGTGAAAGAAGTCATAACAGAAATAAAGGAAGCAAGCCGCTGAATGCCCTGTGGGTGGGTCCAGAGGCAGCAGAGGTCCAGCGGGGTCGGGTTCGGGTTGCGAAGGAGCAGGTGCCGTGCATGTGCATGGATAGGGCAGCGCAGCATGACATGTTCACGAGTGCTGGGGGTGGTGAGATCGCACCGACAGGGGGCGCTGTGAAAGTAGAGAGCAGGTCCTCCAGTACCAAACATGGAGGAGAAGTAAGGGGCGACATAGCCCTTGCCGGTGAGGGCTTGGGTCAGGTGGGCTTCAACATCGCGCTCATAGTATTTAGAAGTAAAAATGGGATACAGCTTCTGAGACGGCAGAGACCGCCAGGCAGAACGGAGTGCAGTGGAACGATCAGTGAAATGGTACTCGCATTGCCAGGAGGTGGTCGCTCGCTCACGTGCCCAGCACCTGACCCACGTAAGGGTGGGCAGGACACCATCAGGATGGGACGTGCCTGCCTTGGCTAAGCAGTCTGCCACTTCATTTTCCAGTACACCACGGTGGCCAGGGACCCATAGCAGAGAAAGTTTCAAAAGAGGATAGCACACCATGAGAGGGGTGAGAAGTGCTCAGAAGCGAATGGAGAAAGGTTGGCCGCTATGCGGGCACAGCGACAAAATGTTTGAAAGTGCAGAGCAGTTGTCCGCACAGAGATAGAGATGATGGATATGAGGGTAGGTCTCCAGAAAACTGGCAAAGTGGCTGGAGACCGCCATTATTGCGAATAGTTCTGAATCGTAGACCTCTGTGTGGTGGCTGAGGCCCTATGCCTGCTCATATTTCACAGCCCTCTGGTGGATGATACATGCACCTGCACCTGCTCTCTGATGACGTGGTGCCGCTTCAGGTGTGTTGACCTGGGAACTGTCAGTGAAGACCCACAGGTCATCAGGGGATGGGATAGAAGAATGGAGAAGGGAAAAAAAGAAATCATTAAGGTAAGAGGTGAAGCCCTCCTTCATTGGGACCGGTATGATGAGCTCGATCCATGCACCCCAGGGATGGGTCGCCTCCCACGGCAGCTGCAGTCATGGGTCTAGGCGGGCAGCCTGGGCAGGGAGGTCCTATTCGAGGATGCTGACCACAGTGATTGCCTGGTGAATGGGAATGGTGGGGTTGAGTAAGGAGAAATTGGGCAGGTGGTGGGTGCAGTTGGCCGCCAGGCAGTGCAACACTGGGTGGTTGAGTGGGAGGGTGAGCAGCCGAGCAGTGGTGAGGCTGCTCAGTTCGTCAAGCTGCTGTCTCATGGGTAGGACACTGGAGATAAGGTTCAAAGCGACCTGGGGTGTGGACCGCCAGACGTCGAGGAACCATCTCAGGGCAGCAGTTTGTACCTGTTGGAGGGGCTGAAAGAGTGAGCGTGGCTCCCGGGGATTGTACCACACAGGGCTTTCAAAGGTCAAAACAGGAAGGATGGTGGTAAGGTATAGAAGATGGGCTTGTGCCACCGTCATGCCCCGTTGGGTAAGGCTCCAACATTTCTATCTATATACTATGTTAAATAGTTTTAACTGCTTACTATATCTGTTTATTTACAGATTGGGCTGTATATAGTAAATAGATGTTTATATATAGTATAAATAGTTTAATGATGACATGAGGCTATTGAGTGCACGATTGATAGATTTGACAGTGCAACAGTGAGCCAATTGAAAGTCATAGTGTTTGATAGAAGCCACCACTGACAGTTGATCATCATATAGACTCATGAACATGAGTTTCTTGTTATTTTTTGTATGACATGAGATTTTCTTGTCATTCGTGGTGCAAGTGTTGAAGTTGAATGCTTGTTTTCTGCTCACTATCATGTGTGTGTTGATGCACCCAGCTCCTTAAGGGTCCCAACAATCACAGAGGCTGCTCACAGGTGAGTAGAACTCCACTAAGAGATAGGACAAAAAAACTATATAAACTTTATATAAACTGTTTATACTACATATATACCAACTGTTTACTATATACTATTTATGTACACCTCAGGAGTGTAAATAGTATAAATAGTTGGAGCCTTACCGTTGAGTGTTGGCGAGCATGCAGAAAGCGACTACATGAGAGGTGGCGCACGAGGTCATCACTCTGATGTGATGGGTGAATTGGAGGTGGCGGTCATACCAAATGCCAAGCCAGCGAAGGTACATCGCAGGCCAGATGATGACCTCCTGCCCTTGCCATTGGATGATAAGGACGGGGTTGATGTGCAAGGAGTGATGCAGGGAGGTAAAGTGAACCATCTTGGTTTTGGCCATGCCAATGGTGAGCCCGAGACGGGTAAGGGTATTACCAATGTAAGGCAGGGTATGCGCAATGATAGCTGCATTTTTGTTTAGAGAAGGAGAGACAATAAGGAGCACGAAGTCATCGACGTATCCCGCAGTGGCCTGCTGGGGATGGACGAAAGGATTAAGACCGGTGTAGAGTGAAGAAGAATAGACAGATGAAAGAATGGGGGATAAGGACGAGCCTGTGGGATGCTCAGGGCAGCAACTGGGTATGCCGGACTGTTATGAAGCGTTCCCTGCTAGAACGTTCAGAACCACGTGTGCTTTCTCACACATACTAGTCCACAACATGGACAGAGACCTAAATATACCTAACATCTCCAATAGTCAGGCAGACTATTAGCAGGGTTTATAGTGTGGTCAAGCCTAG